GACTAGTAAATATATATATATATATATATGCCAACCTTGTGGTCTAGTGACACCAAGTTGTTCTCTTATATGGGAAGTTGTAAGTTCGAAGCTCAATGGGGGCGGTATTGACTCTTTGTTTTTCAGTAGGGGCGTCGGTATTGACTCTATGTGCTTCAATAAATTTAGTGGGGGCGGTATTGACCCTTTGTACTTCAGTAGGTTGAGAAAATAGTTATGAATATATACTGGATTGTAATAGAGTCAATAGTACTATATATATATATATATATATATATATATATATATATATATATATATATATATAGACACACACATTAAAATACGTAAATTATAAAAATTACGTCGTTTTGGATTAATGATTACAATGAATATCTTCTAAATAATTGAGTAAATTAATTGCTCTATATAATTAATTTTCACATTTGTGTATGAATACAATTTTTTATATTTAAATATTCACACAAACTTTAATTTTTTTTTTTGAAAAGTGTATACGATTCGGTGAAAATTTGTTAAACGATCAAATCAATAAATCCAGTTAATAAATTTTTAAATAAGATATTTCAATTCGGTTATTGGTTAACGATTTTTTAAAAATTTTAGTTATTGATAGTTTGGTTATAAAGTATTTGCTAACTAAATTAACACACACACAGACACACACACACACACACACACACAAACACACACACACACACACACACACACACACACACACACACACACACACACACACACACATATATATATATATATATATATATATATATATATATGTATATATCCAACACGAAAGTTAAAATAGGTTAATGTTTAGTACAATTTTAAATATAAAATAAAAAAGATTATTTTCGATATAATAAAAATGAGTTTTAAATTTCTAGTAAAAGTAATAGTAAAGATGAATATTTTTATAGATAATAATAATCGGTAATAAAAATGATGTAACAAATTTTTATGTTAAAATAAATTAAATTTAGAATTCAATATTAATTAAAAAGTAAAAACTTAATTTATTTTTTGTTAAATGTAAAATTTATTATATTATAATAAGTGTACTAATATTGTGAAATACTCTTTCTGTCCCTAATTTTAGAACAAATCAACAGGGTAAATTGAAAAATGTAAAATGATAGTTAAGTTCAATTTTAGAAAGAATACACTATTCCAGAACTAACGAAAAAAGGAAAGTAAAATAAGTAAAATAGGATGGATGGAGTAGTGATTAAAAAAGTTATGCAATTTAGTTATAGCATATGAATTCATATGTAAATTCAATTTTATATTAAATTTTGAAAATTTTTCACTTGTAATACCAAACCTAGGGAAAAATTCGACCATTAAAAAGTTATAAATTATACTTAAAAAATTAACTATTCTACCAACGAAAAGAACGACAGTCGCACGTTCCGTCCCCATACTAAAATGTGAAATCTATATTTGTGCCAAACATTGCAACATAATTAATTTTCGTTGCTGATTCTATCGTCGTAACGCGCTGGACATGTGGGGCATCGCAGTTTCTGTAGCCAATGTGTTAACATTTTGGCGACGGAATTAATCTGTCGTCTCATTCAGTAGCAAAAATAAACATTACTTAAAAAATTAAATATTTTAGCGACGAAAAGAACGATCGTCGTAAGCTCCGTCGTCAACCTCAAACGTCAAATCTATCTTTGCGCCAAACATCGCAATAGAATGAATTTTCGCTGCTGATACCATCGCCGTTGCGTGACGGACAAGTGGGTCGTCGCTTTTTCTATCGCTAATGTGTTAACATATTGGCAACGGAATCAATTCTGTCGTCTCACTTCGTAGCAAAAATAAAATTTACTTAAAAATTAAATATTTTAATTTACTAACGGAAAGAACGATCGCCGCAACTTTCGTCGCCCAACCTCAAACGTCAAATCTATCTTTGCATCAAACATAATTAATTTTTGTTGTCGATTCCATTGCCATAGCGCGACAGACATGTAGGGTGTCACATTTTCTGTCGCCAACGTGTCAATATATTGCGACGAAATTGACTATGTCGTTCCATTCTGTAGAAAAAATAAACTTTACTTCAAAATTTAAATATTTTCGCAACGGAAAAAATACTCGTCGCAATTTCCGTCGTCAACCTCTGTCGTCAATTCCTTGGTGCAAAGATTAAGTGGGAATATTTTCCACTTTGCGCCAAATATCGCAACGGAATAAATTCTCGTCGCTAATTCTGTCACAAACCGCAACGGAACCATCAACTGTTGCCTTTTCTGTCACCGTCGTGGTGACAAAACTTAATTCTGTCGCAAAAGCCGTCACCAAAATGTGGGCGCCAAAATTTCCTGGGGTTTTTTCTCACTTTGCGCCAAAAATCGTTACGGAATTGATTTCCGTTACCATTTCCGACGCAAAATCATGAGAGAACATGTTCCGTTGCAAAAACCATTGCGAATCGACAATGTATTACGCTCTGTCGTGATGTTTCTGTCGCGATTCGTAATTTTTCTTGTAGTGACTATAAACATACTCATATGCCATCTCGTGCAACATTATACTCATACTCATATGCAATCTCGTGCAATACTATGTATATATGCAATCTCGTGCAATACTATAAATATACTCATATGCAATCTCGTGCAATAATATACTCATACTCATATGCAATCTCATGCAATACTATATACATACTAATATGCAATCTCATGTCATACTATAATCATACTCTTATGCAATCTCGTGCAATGTTATGTATATAAATACTCATACACTCTTTATAAAACAAAGTACTTTCTGTGGAGGTCTCTTTCTTACTTTCTTGAGTCTCTCTTGACTCTCTTTCTTTCTCTTGAGTCTCTCTTGACTCTCTTTCTTTCTCTTGAGTCTCTTTTGACTCTCTTTCTTGAGTCTCTTTTGACTCTCTTTCTTTCTCTATACTCGTAGGCAGCTTAGGGTTTCACCGATACGTGAATTACCCCATCGGGAATGGCATAAATCCGACCCAATATCTCCTACCGTCTACGGAACCAATCTCGTGGTTCAAACTCTATGGAATCAGGTATCGAACAATTAGTGTGCACACCCTCTCACCAGGATTCCAAGCCTGGCGGGAAGTTTCCAACCTCGTAATGTGGGAATACGCCGCGTTACATATACTGGGACTGCAATGTCCATAAATATCTCCCGAGAGGACATAGTCCAAACGGTATCCTCCAAAACCTCACCGATATAGTTAATACATTAATATATCTCTCATGCATCAATCTCATGCATGCAACAACTCTACTACTTCTCAATGCATCAAAGAATGATATACCACGTGCTTATGGTTTTTGAAAGTATTATTGGGCTCACGTTGGCCCGTTATGCATTTTTGAAATATGACACATGTGAAATGTCAAAATGCTCTATAACATGCTTCTAAACCATGTATAAAATAACATGAAACATTTAAGAATATAACGTCATGCTCGGTTTGCAACATAGCAAATTCTATACATTCTTGAATATATCCAAGACATCCAACAAGGGATGTTCTCCATGGATTCTTTCTCCAAGTCATTTTCTGGACATTGGTCCAAACTGAATTTATCCCCTTTAGCTATGGGAGCAACGTTTGGTGAACAATTTTGCATATGAAATCTCTCTAAAACTTTGTTTATATAGGTTTGTTGAGATAAACCCAGTATACCTTGGGACCTCTCTATGAATTTTAATGCCAATCACATAAGAGGCATCACCCATATCTTTCATATCAAAGTTCTTAGAGCAGCAAAGTTTTTAAAATTAATGGACCAGCAAAGTTTTTAAAATTAATATGGAGCAACAGAGTTTTTGGAAATTAAAATCCAAGAGCAGCATAATATTTTTAAGAGCAAAGTTCTTGAGTAAAGTTTCTAAGGAGCAAAGTTTTCAAGCAAGGTTTCCAGCAGCAATGTTGAAGCGACATCTCATGATCATAACTCTACTATATTCAAATTTCTATACAAGCAAGAATGATACATGTCAATTATGAAAAGCTTTTAAAAGTCAATAAAGAATGATTAAAGCTTTTAAAAGCGAGGAGAAAATTTCAATATGTCAAATCAAGTTACTGCAACAACCGAAATTAAAGATCAAATTTTCAACACATCAGATTAGGCTACGGTAACCCCAAGAATTCAAAATATAAAAGGGCTTGAAGATAGAAAGAAAGATCAACGAAAAAAAAAAAAAAAGACGGCACAAATACGAAAGAGCAAAATCTTCAAGTTTTGATACATTCATTCTTCATAGAAATGTCTAGTAGAAAAGAGACTAACCTTCTAAAAGTCTATAAGAGTTGGAGTTTGAGAAAAAATTATTTTTCTTGTATCTCTAAGTGTAGATAGAGGCGAGTAACAAGGGAGTTTTGAAATCTTGAAATAAGTGATGGCTTTTGCAGTCAAAGCACTTTATCTGTGAAGATAGGTGATTGTACTAGCTTTGTGTTCAAACAACTCTGGAGATTGGAGTAAAAACACTGTATCTTGTATCTGGGTGATTGATATAGTGAATTCCACATGGATATAGGAGTGGAATGGAGTGGAAGGATTACATACACTTTCGAACTACTATAAAATTCTTGCTCTGGCATGTTATGCATGCTTTTAATATTCACAATCATCTAAGTTCCTAATCGCAATATTTACATACATTTTATATTAAGCATTGCATATTCTTCATACAGGCTTTCTAATAATTAAATCTGAAATTGTTTAAAAAGTGTATTCACCACTTTTCACCATCCAATAGAAACTAACAGAGAGGTTGAATTCTTTTCTTCCAGCAGAGGTGATCAACCACATTAGGGCGACACCGATTTCCGAAACGCACTTGCCAGAGGATGCACTAAGCTGGTCACATGCGGGTACGCGGGGAATCTCATCTTCAGTGGTCGGCTATGGAGCCAAGAAGAATGCATGCAGAGGATGCTGACCAGCTTTAATTTTTAGAGAGGAAAGTGGGAAAGTGAGAGTTGAGATGATATCTAAACTTTTAACATTAATAGCACGTCACACACGTACAGCTTATGATATCTAAAACCTTAACATCAAAATGGAAAGAAAACACCAACCACTATCCATGTTGCTACCTCTATTTCCACCTAGTTAGGTTGTCATTTATATCTTCCGACCTATACTATCACTCCTTCACTCCACATCTAAAGTAGACCTCTTCTCCGGCAGTTGCATGCTCCGAATGTCCTCTCGGGGTAGACTTGGCTCGTTGCCGTTTGGTGACCCATCGACGGCAGCGAGTGCGAGAAGGTGGGTGCGTTCCTTGTTTTTTCGGATGACTAGGTATGCGATGCTTCCCAAGTAGACCAACAATCCCGTGAACCCCAAGATTCCACACAACACCTTGCCCACCATCTTCAAATCACTGTTCTTGAGGGAAGTAACTAACTTCTCTGCAAGGTAATAGATGTTGATTCCCATGATCAATGACCCGATTATCCAAGTGATCGCAGAAATCTGCAAGGAGACATTGGACAAGATGCGAGAAGTGGTGTAAAGGTTCAACTTTAAGTGTATGTATGGTTCAAATAGTGCAGATCGAACACAACAACAGTCTTACTATTTTTGAGTTGGCGTGTACACCCATCTTGGTTTTGCTGCTCGTGAATTTGAGCAACGGAATGAGAGCAAAGGGGAGTTCAAATGATAAGATCATCTGTGCAATACAAGAACAGAATTTGGTTACCGTGGGAGCTTGATCGAAGAACTGATAACATATCTACAAACATATCATTATATTGCCTCAAACATGTAAAACACACCTGCATAAAATCGTTATTTTCAATAGATATCGTGTCATATAGGTAATTGCAGAGCCTGGATCGCTCAAAACATATTAAGAACTCGTCGTTGTAAAATGCTCACGGTGAGTTAACAAAAAACAAGTACCTCGAGCTAGCAGCATTCTAAAACATCAATCTGATCACCTATTATGCACACTATACAGAGTGAATGTCATCTTACCGATGCAATAATGATTAAATTTCCAGCCCCAGCAGAGCCACCGATAATTGAAACAATTAGACTTGGAACGATGGCTAAGCCCCGAGTAAGCATGTTCCTAATCCAAGGCTTCAACCTTAAATCAAGAAAACCCTAAAACAGAGGAAACAAAAAAGGTTAAACCCAGTGTTTCAGTAAAACGTAATTAGCCCAAATGACGAATAAAAGTGGAAAGTAACCAAATTGCCTGCATAACGTATTGCCCAGCGTAAGTCCCCGTTATGGTAGAACTCTGTCCTGATGCTAGCAACGCAATCGCAAAGAGCTTGGAACTCCAATTGCCTAGAACGTTCTGTACAATATGAACTAACAATCAATACCGTAAAAGAGCCGATAAATGTTGCATTATCTGTGAAAGTGAATGCTAAGTTGATTGTATGGCACATACTTTCAGTAAAAATGAGGCTTTGTTCAGGTCCAAATCTGAGCAGCTCTCCTGATACTCCTCGCTCAAATTTGGGGAATTGCAAACTGCACCACTCACCGATATAACGCACACGTTAATGATAAAGGCCACTATTAAAGCTATGCCACTCTCGATCAGGTAAAATGTGCACGCCTCCTGCAAATAACTCTGATGGTCAACTATCAAGCATAATTGTTTCCAAATAGTTTCAGAAATCAACATCTTTGAGCACGACTAAAGTTCATATCATTATGCACATAAGCTGGTCTTAATAAGGTTCGTAATTTTCTGATGGGACCAATAAAATTTCATGTGCAATATTTTCGAAGAAATAACATACTTTGATACCATTTAAAGATCTTGGAATTTTCCTAGAAAGCACCAAAGCTGAATGGAGGAAAAGATTGTGCCTAAAACAATTGCAAAATATTAAGATGTCAATCATGACATAACTCGACTGCAAAAACTAAAGATTAGCAAATACACTTACGGCATAACCATTGCGCCGAGAAGGGAAATAGCAAGCTTAGTAGCCCCAGTTCCCTTGAGTTTAGGCACAAAAAGGCCTTCAAGAACTTCAGAGGAGTTTGGCTTTGCGTACCCAAGCTCCACGCAAAAGCATCCAACAATAGTGAATACTAAGAAAGCAATGAATATCTCGAGTTTCCTCACCTGCAAGCCAATAGGTCACTATCTAAATCCAATTATAAACAGTAAATAATGTTGCATTCGCAGTTTTCAAAAAATCAATTATTTTTTTCACTTATCAAAGGATGTGCAATACCCCATATTGTTGTAATAATAATAGAACCAATGTACTGCATCCCGTAATAAGTACACCACACCACAGTGGTACTTTAAAGAGCATGTTCAAAGCAAAAGCTGTTCCAATCACTGCAGAAGAAACGGAGTAAAACTTAAAAAAGTCAAATATTACAAAAGCCGATGTTGAAGCTCAAAATGCGACATTGTGACATAGTGAATGGAATGATCATAAGTACATTAATTACAATAACAATTATTATCAGAAAATAATACTAGAAAGAGTTTTGCCCCACACACACTCCAAAGGGAAACCATACAGACATGTTCTGTTTATGTGAGATTAGCTCATTCTAACCTTCAGGAATGTCACACGCAACGATAGCAACTTCCGCAAGAACCCATAAGATGAAATTTGGCACCCTGGAGTATTCCTTTCTACAATGCTCCGCTAAATGCTTCCCTGTAGTTAAAAAATAACATCCTTAGCCACTAACTCAACATACAGATAAAACAAACCAATTAAGAAAATGCAAAACCTGTGACAACTCCGAGGTTTGCTGCAAGAGATTGGATTAGAAGAGCAGCAAACGAGGCCAATAGTATGATCCATAGTAACTGCAGAAGAAAGAAATGTTTCTGAGAAATACTTCAGATCACACATGTATAGATCAACACAGTTTCTATTTTGCCTATGACAGTCATCGCTTATACGTTATATTATCCAAAGTCAAGAACCAAAGCAATAGAAGATGATGTCCAACAAATTATACATTATATTATCCAAAGTCAAGAACCAAAGCAATAGAAGATGATGTCCAACAAATTATTTTACAGTAAATTGAATCAAAGGTAGCTCATCTCAGTCACACATAAATCATTTCACATCAGAGCTTCTTAAGGCGTATTGATTTCAATATAGGAACTGCAAACATATACGAACCCCATATTTGTACTGAGCTCCAGCCTCCAGATCTGTCTGAACTGCAAGCCAAATCGTAAAATTGAAAAATAGTTAAGAGTCAACATACAGGGAAACCCAGTTTAACAAATCCAATACCCAATTAAAGAGATCGTCTTACAGTTTCCAGGGTCAATATAAGCTATACAAACAAGGAAGCCTGGACCCAAATATGAAAAGAAGTTTTTCCAGCTTTTCTTCTGTCAATACAAGTAAAACCAAGTGTGATCATCATATTAAAACTTACAATAAAACGAGGAAAAGCAATTTATCTTAAGAGAATCAGTTATATACATCAAGAGAAGGAACATCGGGTCTAGACCCACAAAATTAGTAGCTGATCTAAAAGGACATAAACACAGTTCATTTGAATTAGACAGATTCTTTAATTAAAAATGCAATTTTTTGTCAACAAATCTTGTCTCATCCAAGCATAAGCAACAACTCTTCAAATTTATTAAAGATCGGTGAATTGGCGTATCCAATCCTACACAAGTTGATCAGTTGAAATCAATTGTTTGAGATAACAAAATTTTGGCCTACTTTAAAACACATCAACAGGACAACAACCCCACAAGACATCCAGTTCATCAGTCCATAAAAATGCTTTAGTGTAAATATAAAGAACCAAATACCCGAAGCCGCAAAAGAAAGACTAGACAGCAGTCTGAACATTAAAGTTATTTGTGATGTGAGACAAAGCATATAACTATAGAGAAAAGAGTGGTCACTAGAGAAGCAGACAAAAAGATAACTCCCAGAGAGACAAATCATAGTAGCTAAGTAACACTCATTTAACATCATAACTGTTCATTCTTAGTATTTGCTTCCCATAAAATTTAAGGAAAATGATAGAACTGAAACATCAATATTAAATTTGAGTTTCTTAAAATTAAAGCTGTTCTCTCCACCCCACTAATACTCCCACCTTCCGGCCTTCCTCCAATCTAGTATTCTGCTAGTCTCAAAATTTTCCCTACCATAAACCCAAAATCAATATTATCCACACCAAATGGCATAAAGCTTAAATTTTTTTTCAATAAATTATCAAATGGCATAAACCACTTCCTATGTTTTAGGGTATAGACAGACAGACAGGGAGAAAGACTGACATCAGGTACGACAATCTGGTCGTGTTCAATGTTATCAATGAGTGGCTCATTGGAGAGGCTCCGATTGGCGGAGCTGGTCATGAACTGGGACTGTGCCGATTGCAAAGCCGCCATTTTTACAACTCCCCTTTATTCCGAACCTCCGTTTCAATTCAATGCAACTGCGAACAACAGCAAATGAGAAAGAAAATCAGTGAAAACATGGGGCGATCCAGATCCAAGGCAAGACTACAATAGCATATATATAGAAATATCGCTAGAATTTCAAGAAAACCCTGTACCATAAATATATAAATATTAAAACTAGGCCTGCACCAGTATGTCCAGAAGAGAAGAGAAGAGGAGGAGAGGAAATTGGATGGAGTACAAGGAAGAAAGGCAGGCAGTTACGTGTATTTATAGTCAGCAAAGCTGCCTCCGCTCAACAGTAACACCGCACTTTTTGGGGAAGCTTTTTTTGTTGCCACCTCTAAAGCCAATTTATATCTTCACCATAAATACAAAATTATGTATGGCACAATGGATGTCTTTTTTTTTTTTTGTTTTTTTTTTGAATATATGGATGTCTTTAAAAAAATAATAATAATAAAAAAACAAACAAACAAACAAATCAATAACGAAATTGTATTAGATCAATAAGCAGTTTAAGAACAGGATGGTACATCACACCACTCTGAGCAACTAGAGCCAACTTCGACAACCTTAGTCAATGCATGGACAACCTGAATATTTTATATTCATTACATTTATACTTAATTCATTATGAAATCCTTTCAAATGCTATGCATTCATGGATTGTACTTTTATTTTCCAGAGGTTGTACATTAACCTCAAGGTACAACTGAACAAAACACAAACTCACAAATTACAATGGTTAATACATGTTAAAATATACTCAAGAATCTGCAACCTCATTAGGAAGGTCATGTGCAACAGCCTCGATCGATAGCGTGTTGGCATTAATCGAACTCGTGATCATTCAGATATGAAAATCATGTTCTACCTTTTTGAACAAATACTCTTATTCCTTATTCTCTCTGTCCCATTTTATGTGTCTAGTTCGGTTAACATGGCTTAACTAAAGTTATTTTAATTCAATTTTTCATAATATTAAGTTTAGTATTAGTATACAAAATTTATATATTTAGAAACTACACTAAAAAGTATTATTACAAAAAAAAAAATCAAATTAAAAAATAAGTAACAAATAATAAAGAAAATAAACAAATACGAAAGAGTTGGTTTGATCAATGAATAGTAGGTAGGACAGATAAAATGGGACAGCGGGAGTATATTTTAACGAGGCACCGAAGTAGGAAAAATAAAAAATTTGTGTCATAAATATAATGTTCATTATCTTAGAATTAGGTATTTAAGTTTTGGACAAGGTTTCAAATTCAATTTTTCATGAGAGCCGTCTATTGACTTTCTTGGTATGACATAGTCAACTATGAGAAAATTGGGCTCGTTTACCTCCTTGAGGTTCTTTGTCGGCTAGAGCCACAAGACGAACTTCACTCATACCGCATTTTTGAATAGCGGTAAGCAACAGACTTTCTCATAAATCAAATGTATTTAAGCTTTGGGGTGCGTGTCATTTTTCTTATTATATTTTTTTATTTACCATTTATTAATTAAACTATTTTTTATTTAACATTTTCTTCTGATATTTGAATTTGTTTTTTATTTTAAATTTATAAGAATTTTGTATACATTGTAAATATATCAATTTTAGTCACTGATATTAAATTAAATAATATAAAAATTGAATTATGAATATTTTAGGATTGTGCAGCGGAGAGTCGCAGCAAGGGCGAGTGCAGACCGGTGTGGCCGACTTGGCAGTAGAGATCAAGGATTTGCGACAAAAACAAGAGGGGAAGGAGAAACCAACTGCCAAGACCTTGCTGGATGCTTCCCCCTTTTCAGCATAGGTTTTGGCCTATAAGGCCCAACGGGCTTCAAGCTGCCCAAGCACCCATCTTATGACGGATTGGTAAACCTTGCAACCACTTCATCGGCTTCTAAGCTAAAAAATGCAGGTGATCGAAGCCGAGAACCAGATGATTTGCAAGTCATTCTTCCCTACACCCGTTGGCCCGGCATAGCATTGGTTTTTTACCCTGTCGCCCGGGTCGATTACTAGCTTCGAGGACTTGGCCAATCGATTCTTGACGCATTTTGCTGGTAGCATGAAGCCCAAGAAATACATCTCGGACCTTACCTGGGTGTGTCAGGACGAATGAGAGAGCCTGCACAAGTACATAGTGCGTTGGCAGAAGGAAGCCAAGGCAGTCGAGGGCTTAGATGATAAGATTGCCCTGACGTTTTGCATCGAGTCCTTGCGTACTGACGGACACTATAGAAAACTACATGACAAGAACCCTCAGACTTATGCCCAAGCCTTTCAGAGGACTAATCTGCTCGCTGATACTGAGGAGGTAGTTAGGCAGAAGAAGAAACTGGAAGACTCTTCATCGAATAAGCGACCTCGGCTGGACAATCTTCGTAGTAACAGGTCGGAGGGAGCAGAGGTGCGCGCACAGATACTCGTCGGATACAAGACCGATGGGGTGTTCTTGTCTATAGGTCACCCGCGCAACTCATCCATGAGGTTCGCAACCAGCTACCACCCCCGCCCCGGTCAGACCAAGAGATAACCCGCAGGGTGTAGATCCGAATGCGAATCCCTATTGTTGTTATCACCGCACGAACACTCATACGACGGAAGAGTGCGAGTGGCTCATAGAAGGAATTGAGGCAATTATCCAGCGTGGTCGGCCGGTACTGTAACACCCCAAAACTTAAACATAACGCAAGGTATTCAAACTTAGAGATAAGTAAAAAGTCTAACCATTTAATTAAAAACTAAGCGGAAGCTAAACATAGTTAAAGGGATGCTATGCCACATCTAGAATTTCCAACCTAGATGCATAAGCTTACAAAACTATTATCCATAAGGTCTACAAGTTCACGGCTCACAGGCCAAAACAACTAAGCTAAAGGGAAGGAAAAACTAATCTAAATCGGGCTCCACTACGCGCTCTCGGATCGACTAAGCACCTGAAAACATAAGGTATAACAACCGTTAGCGAAAATTGCTAAGTAACTCACTCCAACGCGTTGAATACATAATCATATATTATATAGGTAAAACCATTTTGAGACTTGGGAATACATAAGTATATCCTTAAACAACTCTAGCTTTGTAAATCACAAGGAATAGAAGTAATACTCCGACCATACGAAGAATGTACTCCACAATACCACTCAAAACCACGAATCAACGATATGAATCAACTCAAAGAATAGAGATAACAAACGGTATATATCAATTCAAGAAATAAAGATAACGCATCAAGATATACAAATAAGATAGCTAGGCACAATCATCAAAGAAGTGGTTCTCAACACAATCCACAATAAGATCAATCACCGAAAAGGTTCCAAATCCACAAAGGACATAGCCAAACCAAGTCATTCACTGCGGAGTTACCAAACAACTCGAATCATAGTGGATCAGTGTGGAGGGCTCCAAATCAGTACCAATGTCACAAGTGACCAAACCATCAAAGTCCAGTGGAAACAGATCTAGCAACTTTAAGTGTATACACCCCCTATTAGGATTCCAAGCCCAACGGGTTAGCTACTATCTCTAGCAACCGGGATACATTTCTACCAAGTTGCCCGCAAATCACAAATATCCAAACGGCAACCCGGAGCTTTCCATACTACCGGATCAGTTCACAATGGTTGATTGGGTTTTTCCACACCACCGACCTGTCAAGGGCTTCCCACACCAACATGACCCATTGCAAACAGGGCCAGAGGCCCGCCACACATATCAGATACAAATAAGTCCCCACACTGTCCACTGTCCCAACATACTCATCACAACACGAGTTCAATACACAAGGAATCTAGAGAAACAAAGCAAAGGTATAGATTCCACAAGAAGTGTGCACAACTACGGATAAGCTCAAACAATAGCTCAATCGAAGAATCATCAAGGATAGAGTACAACGAATGTACCATTCACAACGATAGATCAGAATGATAGGAATTAACGAAAGAGGTATAAATAAGATATACCAAAGGATTACAACGAATAGATAGGCTCAAGTATCAATTCAATCAAGAATCAAGATGGTAATCACAAGGAATTCACATACTAGTACCAATAAGCAACATAACTAGCATGCAAGCCAACAAGGTAGCCACAAAGGCTCATATGGATAACACAAACTTCATTTGAATCCAACGAATCACAATATTGGATTACAACCACGATTCAAGACTCATATCCTAACCAATAGGTTCACAACACATCGCTCTAGACTTACGAGACATCAATAAAGACACACAAATACACTATGGAACAACAAAACGGAAGCCAAAAACCATTGTACCAGTGGGTGGCAAACTACCCGCCAAAACCTCCCACCCGTACCAGCGGGTGGTCTTGTGGGTGGTGAAGAGCCCGCCGAGCCCCTGCCACACAAGCCTTGTACCGGCGGGTGGTATTAGCGGATAGTGAAGTGCCCGCCAGGTGCCCGCTGGTACCAATCTGAAGGAGAAAATCCCACTTCGGGAAAAATTCCAAGAATATACCAATCCAAGTCCAAACACCTCAAACCTCACATCAACAACAAAAGGGACTTGAATACAAGGAATAGGTCAACAAATAGCATCAAGAACCCTAGATACAAGCTCTACAAAAGCATAAACACAAGAATATGCATTTCATCACTCAAGAACATCAAGAAATCATACATAGCAAGGAGAATTAGGTTTTGTAGGACATGGGTTACTTCCGTAGCTAGCAAACACCTCCAAGAAACACCACAAGCTCCTCTAGATCAACCTAGCAACTCACCCATCCCTTGATCTTCATCAAAACCCCCAAAACCCAACATAAGATAGAAGAAAGATTTAGAGAAAGTGAAGAGATCTTGAATAGAAAAGATAGAGAAGACTTGATCTTACCACTCCTAGGCTCAATGAAGTAGAAAGGTGGAATCTTGGTCTTGTTTCTTGAGTCGGAAGATGAAGTGATAGGCATATTTTACACTCATATTTTAGGTACATCTTTATAATAATTTTGCATTAGTTATTTAATATTATCTTATAATTAATTCTTTTTATATATAATATATAAGAATACATACTACATTACTACGTACCGTACTAGTTTATACATATATATATGCATTGTATATACATATATTATTTTAATATTATTTTGGTCCAATTCTTACCCTAAGACAAAAGAAACAAAATATGATGAAGGACTTTTATTATTAACATTATTGCTTTGCTTCTTTTCTTTGTACAGGTTCGTGTAGCAGCGGAAAACGTCAACTTCAGCGCAAATATTTACGGAGAACAAAATTAA